GCACAAAGGACCTTATAATCACTGTTTTGTAAGGAAATAGTATTTTTTTAAATCTGTATTTCAGAAATGTCAATATATGCTTTGCTTTATCAAATTTTATTTTGAACAAAAACAAAGAATCTACAGAAATGTTCTTACTTGATGAATCTTAATTTGCTGTGAGGAACAAAAAGTGCACATGGTGCAATAAAAAAAGGACTGCACAGAGCTGTCTTTTGGGTATATATTTCGTTGGGCTGTTTGATGAAACAGATAATATACCTGTCTAGATAACCTCGATATGTAATTGTAATAAAAGTATATCATCATTCCGTGAAATATATGGCCGTGAAGAATATATTTATGAAAAACTCTCTGAACTTTATACCTTCTAATAAAAAATTTGACAAAATGGTTTCTATTTCTCCCTTTTTTACATCAACAAACGATGAACGATGTCTTTGGTCGTCGCTTGTGTAAATGTTTATTAAATAAATATTATTGTATTTGATAAAGTTTATATGTTTTTAAAGACTATATTTTTTAACACCGAAATTTAAAAAATGTCATGTTTTAAATACTATCATTCAATACACTAAATATAGTTGACCTATTGCTGATAAATTCTAAAAAAACAGACTTATTGCATATAGTATTAGTAAAATTAAAAAAGAAAACATTATTTTGTGCATTCGTCGACTTTGAAAAAGCGTTTGACACGATTTGGCGAGACGCAATGCTTTTGAATAATATGAATGGATGTATGTATAATGTTATTGTAAATATGTATCAAGGTACTAAGTCATGTATGTATTTCATATAACAATTCCGAGTCTGATTTTTTCCCATGTAATAACGGGGTTAGACAAGGCGAAAATTTATCGCCTTTTCTTTTTTCTCTATTTTTGAATGATCTTGATTCATTTTTCCAAACCTGTAATATAGAGGGCCTAAAATCAGTCTCAACAGAGCTTGAAGAAAAACTTGGACATATTTTTAAAACTTTTCATTATTCTGTATGCTGATGATACTGTGTTGATGGCCGAATCCGCAACTGAACTCCAAAAACTATTAGATTGTTTTCTAAATTACTAATACACAGATGTATGGAGGCTAAAAGTAAATGTTGATAAAACAAAGGTCGTGGTTTTTTCAAGGAGACGACCATCATGTAATTTTCAATTTTTCTTTAATGAAAAAAAACTGGATATCGTTGATGAATTTAACTATTTGGGCATAATTCTAACAAGAACAGGTAATTTTAATAAAACGAAGCAATTTAATGTAGAAAAGGCTACAAAGGCTTTTTACGAAGTGTTAAGACTAGGTCGTCTACATAATCTTTCTATATGTAGTCAGTTGGACTTATTTGATAAAATGGTGAAATCAATATTACTGTACGGTTGTGAATTATGGGGTATTGGAAATAATGAGATAATTGAAAAGGTACAACTAAAATTTTGTAAATTATTATTAGGTCTGAAAACATCAACACCCTCTTATATGATTTATGGGGAGCTTGGAAGATATCCTGTAGACTTGGACATAACAATTAGATTGATCTCATTTTGGAGGATATTAAATTCTGGTAAAGAGACAAAACTATCATATACTTTATATGAATTGTGTTATCACATGTCTATTAATGACAATGTGCATTTTTCATGGTTAAACAGAGTAAAGACTATTTTAAATGAATGTGGTATCCCCGATGTGTGGGAAACGCAATCTTTTATGAATTGTAAATGGTTAGTTTCATTCATCAAGCTCAGACTTAAAGATCAGTTTGTACAAGTCTGGCATTCTTTGCTTGAAAACTCACCAAAAGCACTTAATTATAAACTTTTTAAAGATTTTTTTGGAAAAGAAGATTATTTTGAAATTCTTGGGAACAAACTGTCTATTGATTTTTGTAGATTTAGGACCACAAATCACAAGCTCCCTATTGAACAGGGTAGATAGAATAATATAGTTAGAAATAATAGATTGTGTCTTCTATGTAATAAAAATAACATTGGTGATGAATTTCATTACATATTAGAATGCAAATACTTTGAAAAAAACAGGAAACATTGTATGTCACATTATTATTTTAAAAATGCAAATACTGTTAAATACAAGCAGATTATGTCTTCAAAACACAAATCAGAACTGATTAAACTTTGTAAATTTATAAAGATTATCAACACAGGTATATGTGCTCCTGGCTAAAATGTACTTCATATATTGTCTGAGCAATAGTTCTGTTTGTTCTGTCTTATTGTAAATATTGTACATATATGTCTTCTCTATACCTATGTATATAGTTTATTGAGAATAAAGATAAAGTATGAGAAAAAAAGACCAAGACTCAGACACTTAATTTTGACAACTGAACCATGAAAATGAGGCCAAGGTTAGATTACACCTGCAAGCTAGACATGTACACCTTACAATCATTCCATACACCAAATATAGTAGACATATTGCATACAGTATAAGAAAAACAGACCAAAACACAAAAACTTATCTATAACCACTGAACCATGAAAATGAGATCAAGGTCACATGACACCTACCAGTTGGACATGTACACCTTACAGTTCTTCCATATACCGAATATACTTGACCTATTGCTTATAGTATCTGAGATATAGACTTGACCACCAAAACTTAACCTTGTTCACTGATCCATGAAATGAGGTCGAGGTCAAGTGAAAACTGTCTGACGGACACGAGGACCTTGCAAGGTACGCAAATACAAAACATTGTTATCATGTTACTCATAATAAGAGAGAAATTATCATTACAAAAAGTCTTAACTTTTTTTTTAAGTAGTCACTGAACCATGAAAATGAGGTTAAGGACAATGGAAATGTGACAGACGGAAACTTCGTAACATGAGGCATACAAAGTTTGAAGCATCCAAGTCTTCCACCTTCTAAAATATAAAGCTTTTAAGAAGTTAGCTAACGCCCCCTATGTCGAGCTTTCTGCGACAAAAGTCGCAGGCTCGACAAAAATCCAACTGATTGTCTAAAAAGATAAGTCCTGCCTTAAATATATTCAAAGAGACAGTTTTTTTATCACTGGATTGTGCGTTTATGTCTTGTGTTAAAATATGCTAGTTTTCGAGTCAAAAGATATTATTAGAATAAAATATTAGAGAAAAAGATTGAACAGAAACCATAAGAATATAAATCTTTCAAAATTTCTTTTTCGTGCATGAATTAAAATATTGTTTTGAACAGTCTTAAACAAACTTTTATTACTTTTTTCCTGTTATGTGAACATTTATTGGGGGCAGTTGTTATATATTAGCACTATAACAGGTAAAGCTTTGACAATCTTGTCACCTGTAATTACATTTACCTGTAAGAATAAAACGTTTTGGTTCAAGATTTAGAAACAGAACGAAGAGGTTTTCTCCTGTGTTAGCGAGTACACACACATTTTGTATTCAGACAATGTACATTTATTGTTTATATCCTACAATTAATAACTGGCGCTTTAAGGTTCGTGGCATATAAACTCTTATGTATTTAATTATTTTGAAAACAAAATGAAAATTATGTCCAATGAATAACAATGATGAAATAATTGTTTATTCCATAATTGAATCGTGCATTATGTGTATTGGATTACTTAGTTGCCTTCTTTCTAGTGCTATCTATTTTGTTTACTGACAAATGACGAAATAATACAATAGTTAAAATTAAATATTTTACAAAACTTTGTCATGATTAAAAAATTAAAACCGACTGAATGAATTAAAATATGAGAATTCAATGATTATCGATGTTGAAATTAGCCGTCGGTAATAAACAGTCAGTTTGTGTAAAAGAAATAGCTACCAAATTTGTTTATTATGTATGTACAAAGTATATGTATATTGTATATAATCAGCCCTTCTGTATATTACTTGTTTTATAATTGATTCAACAAATTTCGCTCGTCCAGGTGTCAATAACGGTGATGTTCACACCACGAGTAGTGATAAATGACACAATAACACAGCGATCGATCAATAATATAAGTAAAAATTGCGTGCCGTATGCTGAATGTCGCCCCTCCTCTGAAAAAGGACGCTAATCTTTATATAAAATCTCGCAAAATTATGACCCATATTTTGGCACATCCCCGTTCACCCATTAATAATAGGAAGTGAATTCGTCACCATCATGGTTTCAAAGAGAAAGTAAAACGTTAAACGCCGGATTTTCGTCCAATTAAAACACTCGTTACATTGTTCTTTTGTATATTTAGATTCCGAGATAAACCTAGATTTTCTCGAGAAATGAGATAATTCATTATGTGAAATTGAGAAAATTAATTATCTGGAGATAAATTAGGATTATCTGAAAATCGATCAGAAAAACCTAGATTTTCTTAATATTTTGAGATAAACCGGGATTTTCTCCAGATAATGAATTTTCTGTATTTTCTGAGATAAACTAGGATTTTCTCGAATTTGAATTAAGCTGAGATAATCTTAGTTTATCTGAGATAATCCTAGTTTATCTGAGATAATCTAAGATTAATTAATAAAAGTGGTTCAGGCGTGCCATAAATATGTTTACCTGTGTATTATCCATTTTCACTTGATTATATAACATGTTAAATGGAGCAAATAAAATATGTTTACACTGAATCTGGCACACAGTTAAAACTCCAGTTTAACTATTACGGAAAAGAACTTGGTAGTAGAATTACTATCAAATATAAATAATGTCTCTTGAAAAGGGAGTGTAATGCTCCCTGCAGGTTGGAGAATACTTGCAACCAATCGTGTAGGGATACATCGATGGTATGTTACAACGCAAAATATATGATTCTCCAATATTCCCTCTTTTTCCGAGTCGCAGTCTATATTTCACTTTAAAAACTGACCGACTGAATTTATATTTCAATTGTTCTCATCCTGAATATGGATTTATTATTAGTAACTGGACGTTCAGTTTGTAAACAAACAACAACGAATTTAAATTTGTGAATAACTTGTACTAAAAACTATTGTAGGCTTTGCTTGATTCTAAACTTACATCATTTTTTGATAATCCTTTAGATTTACACAAGGAGGCTACTTTCTCAAGATTTTCAACATTTCTAGCTGCTAGAACTACCTTTGCTTTGCTCTCAGCAAACAGTAATGCAGTTGTTTCTCCAATACCTGAACTTGCACCTGAAGTACAAACATATCATTCATATATATATATATATATAATGATGTATACTCTCAAACATTCCATAAAATAAAGGGTAATAACCATTTGTTACAAACGTCTAATCTCACACGTGTATGCTGTTCTTTTAAACGGTATTCTTCAATACTCATATAAATATTTTATAGTCACTATGTATTTCCAATATGACAAATGTCAACGAGACTCGTGACTTCAAGACGATGCCATAACGGGGGGGGGGGGGGGGGGGGGGGCGCAAACGTCAATGATTCTGCTGATTAAGAAACAAATCATGATCATAATTAGTACGTAATTTACAATTAATATTTTAAATTGTGTCCTAAAAACCAGATTTTCTCTGGAAATGCAAAAGTAAAATTGGTGATAATCGAACTGGATCTGTTTTAATAGTCATTAATTATAAAAATAAGAAGATGTGGTATGAATGCCTATGAGACAACTCTCCACAAGAGACCAAAATAACAAAGAAATAAACAACTATTATAGGTCACCGTACGGCCTTCAACAATGAGCAAATCCCATACCGCATAGTCAGCTATGAAAGGACCCTAAATGACAAATGTAAAACTATTCAAACGAGAAAACTATCGGCCTGATTTATGTTCAAAATAATGAACAAAAAACAAATATGATATACAGCAAATAACGACAAGCACTGAATTACAGGTTCCTGACTTAGGACCAGCACATACAGAATGTGGCGGGGTTAAACTAGTTTGAAGGTGCCAACCCTCCCCTAACCCAGGACAGTGGTGTAACAGTACAACAAAAGAACAAACTTTTAACATTATATTTCCTAAATTTTTGAAATGATTTAGTGGAGGCTAACTGAAGTTACTTCCTCGAACCAACAAAACTGCAATATTCCGCTTATCAAGGAATTATATGTAAAAAGTGAAATCGATAAAATATAACTGGATCGGTGTTTAGTGGTCTCTAACAACATTTTCCCTTCAAATGATTTGGTGGATGGTTACATAAGTTAGGAAACCAATTTATGGAAGCTCGTATGTTACGGGAGTAAAACTATATGCACTCGTCGCATTTCAGCGGGGGCTCATCAAAAAGATGTGGGTTCTATATTATTTAGACAGTAACCCAAAGATATCTAGTTAAGAGTTCAACATAAGTCGTCAACAATTTGTTTCCATTCAATATTTCAAGCACTTAATCGCAATGAGTTTTAAACGTTGTAAATTTAAGTAAATAGAGTATTTCAAAGTTCTGCCATCCACGCAAAATTTTCTAAATAACAAACAACTGTGGAACATTATATCAAAGTTCCCGTCGTCCCCTAAAAAATCAAAAGGTTTTGATGCTAGACCGACATAAACCCCTACTATGCTAAGCCTTTTTTGTGAACATATACGTGTATTTTAGAAAGTTTTTCTGAAAAAAAGATAATTTATATTTACCTGTTATGATGGTGACTTTGTCCTGTAAAGACGCCATGATAAGTTACACTTATAGATATATCAAATGGAATTTGAGAATTATTTAAACACCAGGCGGTGCTAAGGGGACGACCATTTGATATTCTGGTGGGGGGGGGGGGGGGGCAGGAGGATTTTGAAAACAAATAACTCAGCCTTGATAATAACAAAAATGAATGGTTTGTTCTGTGGTAGTTTGAAAATAAATAACCTGACTTACAATGTATTGAAAATAACTTGGCTTGTCTTTTAAGCCATTAATACATGTATACATTTTACCCTCTCTAATAAAGAGTTCCATTGCTTTTGTTTAATTTCAGTTGGGTATTAGCCTGTCAAAGTATGAAAGATCTAGACATCTTGTGACTTTGATGACCTGACAATCTATCACATTTACCTAATAAGTCCCGTATTGATTGTAAAAGCCCATCATACACAATAAATTACTTTTTAATCAAACACGATATCTATGATTTAAAACTTTAATTATATTTGATCGTTACGTATACCCTTTTATAATGATAGCTAGTGCCAGTATCAGTAAATGTTTGAAAATTCGGATATTTTGTTTATATGAAAGTTCAAGGTTTACCAAGTTTAAAGGTTTCGTATAGCAATTTATGATAAGGGACTTATTAGGTCTTGCCTTGGAAAAAGGGCAGCGCTGGTCATTTGAAAATACAGCCTTTTTATTGCCCAATAAAGATTTTTCTAAAAAGAAATATCCCCCCATTTCCTAAACAAAAGAAATCATGCACCCGCCACAATTTATATGGTTTTTAGTTTATCAGATATATATTAATTGGTTTGTTATGAAGTTAAAGAAGTTTACATCTTACACATATTTAATTTGTTTCTAATACTAATAGAGACAGCCGACTAATAAAAAAAATTGGCTTTAGTAAATTTAATAACATCAATTAACGGGGCCACCAGATGCACATTTTGGCAATAAATGTCTACTCAGTGATGCTCGAAGAGCACATATTTAAAATCATTTTTTGATAAAGCATTGTTATATATACAGAATAGTAAGTACACCAAATTGAATCTTTACAAGAATTATTTCTTAACAAGTTTAATTAAACTGTAGAATAACGAAGATGTAAGAGATATAACTGAAATACAAAACTGTAAAGTATATTGCCATCAGATTTAAAAAAAACGTTGCTCATACATAAAAAAAGTCTAATAGAGGGAAAAGATGTTTCTCTAAAATGAGCCCTGAAAAGGCAAACGAAATCTATTGGGACTGGATCTAAATAAACAAAACTTTACGACAAAAGAGATGATTTCAGCTTCCCAATTGTGAACTTTCCATTTCTATGTAGCAACATTCCAGCAGCGCCTGCACAGCGCCTGCATACGGAGTATATATCTCCCAATTGGTACGATATTCCCGGGCTTGTATTTCCTATCATGATTTCCTTGATAGAGGATTGCTGCTCACAAGGAAACTATTAAACCAAGAGTTCCAAATGGTGAAGTTGAAATCATCCCTTCGTAAATTTTACGGACGCCATCACGAGTTGGTTGACCGTTATGGAAACACCGTTTCACAGATGATATCGGATATGTTCCTTATGTCCTAACTACAATACCCTTCCCTTTTCACGAATGTACCTATCGAATTAGACTATATACCGGATTTGTAATAACATAAGCAACACAACGGGTGCCACATGTGGAGCATGATCTGCTTACCCTTCCGGAGCACATGAGATCATCCCCAGTTTTTGGTGGGATTCGTGTTGCTTAGTCTTTAGTTTTCTATGTTGTGCCATTTGTACTATTATTTGTCTGTTTGTCTTTTTTTTTCGTTTATTTTTGGCCATGGCGTTGTCAGTTTGTTTTCGATCTATGAGTTTGACTGTCCCTCTGGTATCTTTCGTCCCTCTTTAATGGTCCTTAACATTACTAAATTTCAAATTATGTGCTTGAGCTTACTCAAGAGCCTGGAACCCAAATTTTGCTATATTAGCTTTCTAAGGATATATCTATGGAAAGCCAAAAGTGAAATCGGTGAAATTCAATTCGATCTGTGTTTAGTGGTCCCTATTATAGCTAACACTGAACATTTCTAAATTTCAAATAATTGGGTGGAGGCTTACTCAAGTGAGCATTCGGAAACGAACAATTTATGGACGGGCGTTCGTAACGAGATTATAGCTATTTACTTTTGTCTCAGTTCGTTGGGGCTTGAAAAAAAGATTTGGGGTCTAACTCTTTTAGACAGCAACCCAACATTCCAAATAATATAAAAAATAGAGGCTCCAAGGAGCCTGTGTCGCTCACCTGATATTTTTGTTTACAAACAATGCAACAATAATACTTTTTTAAAGGAATCTGTGTGGATCAAAATCTTATCTTTCGTTTGATTTTAACTGTTTTCAACCCATTTATCATTTTAAGTTTTCACGGTTAAAACACACATTTCAAGTATGCCGTGCTGCTGTTTCATGAACATACATTTTTATATATTTTTTGTATATCATTACTGGTAAAGGATCATCAAAGAAACATTAATCGATTTTGCCATGTTTATTATAAGTTTTTCAATTGGTTGTCACAGCAAAGTTACTGATCATTATGGAGACAAATAAAAAAATAATAAAATTTGTCATTTAAGGGCAATAACTCCTATAAGAAGTCATCTGACTGTTTTGACTTAAGGAGACAGTAGGTAGATTTCAACATTCTGAACATTTTGTCCCTTTTAGATTTTCTCTACTCATAGCAGTTTTCAAGATAATAGACACAACTTGCATTTTACCATTTGGCCATGTTGGTTGGCAGGCGGGGTCATCGGACACATGTTTTAAACTAGATACCCTAATTATGATTGTGGTCAAGTTTGGTTGAATTTGTCTAGTATGTAGTTTCAGGGGAGAAGACTTTTGTAAAAGATTACAAAAATTTACCAAAAATTGTTAAAAATTTACTATAAAGGGCAATAACTCCTTAAGGGGTCGATTGACAATTTTGGTCATGTGGACTTATTTGTAGATCTTACTTTGCTGAATATTATTGCTGTGCACAGTTTATCTGTATCTATAATAATATTCAAGATAATAACCAAAAACTGCCAAACTTCCCTAAAATTACTAATTCAGGGGCAGCAACCCAACAACGGGTTGTCTGATTCGTCTGAAAATTTCTGGGCAGATATATCTAAACCTGATGCACATTTTTACCCCGTCGTTTTTGCTCTTAATGTTTTAGTTTGAGAGATATAAGCCAAAATCTGCATTTAACCCCTATGTTCTATTTTTAGCCATGTCGGCCATGTAGGTTGCAGGCGGGGTCATCGGACACAATTTTTTTAACTAGATACCCTAATAATGATTGTGGCCAAGTTTGGTTGAATTTGTCTATGTAGTTTCAGAGGAGAAGATTTTTGTAAAAGATTACAAAAATTTACCAAAAATTGTTAAAAATTGACTATAAAGGGTAATAACTTCTTAAGAAGTCAATTGACAATTTTGGTCATGTGGACTTATTTATAGATCTTACTTTGCTGGACATTATTGCTGCTTAGAGTTAATCTCTATCTATTATAATATTCAAGATAATAACCAAAAACTGCAAAATTTCCCTAAAATTACTAATTTAGGAGCACTTACCCAACAACGGATTGTCTGATTCGCGTCTGAAAATTTAAGTGCAGATAGATCTAAACCTGATGAACATTTTTATTCCCATGTCAGATTTACAGTAAATGCTTTAGTTTCAGAGATATAAGCCAAAAACTGCATTTTACCCCTATGTTCTATTTTTAGCCATGGCGGCCATGTTGGTTAGCGGGCGGGGTCGTCGGACACAATTTTTAAACTAGATACCCCAATAATGATTGTGGCTAAGATTGGTTAAATTTGGCCCAGCAGTTCAGAGGAGAAGATTTTTGTAAAAGATAACGGACGACGGACGACGACGACGGACGACGGACGCCAAGTGATGAGAAAAGCTCACTTGGCCTTTCAGGCCAGGTGAGCTAAAAACAGAGTTCAACATTCGATCTTTAACAATATGAATATATTTCCATTCAATATGTCAAGCTCTAAACCACCATGATTTTAAAACGTAGTAAATTATACAGAGAATATCAGAGATATGTTATCAACACAAAATTCTCTAAAAATCAAACAACTCTGGACTCTTTTGAAAGTTCCTGTTTTCCCTAAATAATCTAGGTGTACTCTTAGACCAACAAAAATCCATATTTTGCTATACACGTTTCGTGAACAAAAATATGACACGGGTTATGTTCTTCTCATATATTTTATGACGGTATAATACTAAATCCCTAACAGGAGGGATTGTGCCTGATATTCATATGATGAAGACATAATCTTTCTCTGTTGTTATTTATGTATTATTGTCATGTTATTTTTTTTTAATTTGTTACCTAATCTGACATCGGACTCGGACTTCTCTTATACTGAGTTTTACTGTGCGTACTGTTGTGCGTTTGTTTTTTCTACATTGGCTTGAGGTATAGGGGAAGGGTTGAGGTATAAAAAACATGTTTAACCCCGCCGCATTTTTGCGCCTGTCCCAAGTCAGGAGCATCTGGCCTTTGTTTGTCTTGTATCATTTTTAATTTTAGTTTCCTGTGTATAATTTGGAGTTTAGTATGACGTCCATTTTCACTGAACTAGTATACATATTTGTTTAGGGGCCAGCTGAAGGACGCCTCCGGGTGCTGGAGTTTCTCGCTGCATTGAAGACCCATTGGTGGCCTTCGGCTGTTGTCTGCTCTATGGTCAGGTTGTTGTCTCTTTGACACATTCCCCATTTCCATTCTCAATTTTAATTTTACTTAAGAATTTTCTTGAAAAAAAACATGTGATCTTTACCTGTTATGATGGTGACTTTATTCTGTAGAGACGCCATGGTAAGCTACACATTTAGTTAAATTAAATTGAGTGTGAAGGTTTTTAAACACCAGGAGGTGCTGCTGTTCGCGTTAGTTACAGTTTGTTACTACAACACAGGGTTTTAAAAAATCCATAAAAATTCAGAATGTATTATGAAACGCATGTTTGCTCATTAAACGTGATCAAAATTTATTCATTTCCAAGCAAGAAAGATCTAGATGACACGTTGTCACTTTGTTGACCTGACAGTCTACCATATTTACCTAAAATATCATATAAGGATTGTAAAGGCCCTTAAGAACTTAATTGAGGGAGCTACCATTTGATTTTTATGGGGGGGGGGGGGCTAGGATGAAATTTGAAAAAAAGGCAAGACAGGAGTTTTGAGTAAAAAAAAGGCAGGATGATCATCTTGGCAAAAAAAAGGCAGGATGACAATTTATGTAAAAAAAAAAGGCAGGACCGAATAGAGTGAAAAATAAAAAGGCAGGACAGAGATTGCAACTAACCCCTAGCCCCCCCTATAAAAATCAAATGGTAGCTCCCTTAAATATCCCTTCTAATACGTCATTTCTGGAATCATGTCTTTCACCGGAAAAGATCGTCAATTTCGCACGCCTTTATGACGTCATTTACCAGATAGAAGGCGCGCCTGTATCCCTGTTCTATTAAAAGTTTCCAGCACTTTCATAATCGTCATTCTGTAGGGTAGTATAGAAATAATTTTTATGTTCCGTAAGTACGTAATCTTGATTCCCGTACGACTGAGGGAGGATGACCATCTTATTAGATTTTAATTTCCCAAATATTTTGTACAGTATAAAATCAAACTTTTTCACCCGTTTGCTCAACGTGTGTTGGAAGTGACGATGCATACATTTTTGTCACGTGGTGATGGAAGTCATATGACAGATTCGTCTAAAAACCGTATCCCGGAACTGCCGTATGAAACACGATATCTACGTTTTGCACAAATTTTATTTCATTTGATAATTTTTCTTTTAAAAAGTTCTTGTCCTGATATTTAAACTTCGTCCGGGACTCACTCCCATATTTAGTTTAAACATAGTATATTTAAGAAAGAGTTCATGGGGGCTTGAATTTATTGTGATTTTACAACGGGTTGGCCCTTTATGCTAAATATTTTACCACGAGCGACAGTGTGGGATAAAGTATCAGCATAAAGTTCCAACCCGTGGTAAAATCAATATAAATTGAAGCCCATATGTATAATTTCTATTCTAATAGGACAAGGACAGTAATTCTTTGGGATCGAAGCGCTCTATGTGAAGGGAAATGTTTGCTGTTCCCGTAATTGAATACACTATTAGTATTGACGTTTTCATGTTTTGACGACTTTCAGTTTCCCATTCGTGCATTTTCCCGTAAAATCCTTACATTCTTACGTCATCGTTCAATGACGTCATTTACACCATCTGACGTGAGGTAAATCATTCATAAAAAGCATACGACGTGGTAGTCGGATAGGAACAGCCCAAACAGTTGGAAAGCAGGTCACGGTTTGACCCCAAGTTTATCAGCAACAATAGAGTCACGTGACCGTGAAAATTCAGTAAAACTACGGATGAGACAAACCTCACTTTTACTCACTAAAATACCACTGTCATAGTAAAAACTTATTGATCAAAATAATCTTGAATATACATAGTTTTAACTCGTCAAAACTTACACATCAACTCAAAGTCCTTTATTCTTTATTTTATCTTCAAACTTGAAGTTTGTGTGAAAATTGTCAAGGCTCCTGATCGAAAAATCTAAATATTTTCGAGGAAACTAAAAATGATGGGCTGAATTTAAATTTAATAAAGCATCTCATTAAGACAAACACTCGATATGAATATCTAGGCAATACAGTTTTGGATACGCAAACGTCAAGTTATGTTCAACACGAAGCGGTGGTTTTTTTGCCGATTTGTGCAAGTGGTTATCTCCCCTTGATATAACCAGTCAAAAATAAAAACCCACCAAAATGAATAAAAAGGAGTTTATTTTACAAAAATCAAGAAGAAAATAAAAGAAAGTCGATTAACAACTATGTTATTATAATAGTAAGAAGAGATACTTCTCTACTTTTCAGAGAAGGATTACAGGTAAAAATTAAAAGACAAAAAATTGGTAAAAATTAGATCTAGAAACCTAGCTGAATTGATATAAATTAGCCCTGGCTGATGAAATTTACTTTCAGTTTGTAATTTTTATAATGGGATATGGGATCACTCCTAATGTAACTACTTCTAACAATGTTTAATTCAATAAAACATACTGTATACAATTTAAATAATCTTTCTGAAAAAAAATAGTACTGACCATTTATATTTTATATTTTAATAAAGTGGGACCAAGAGTCACAATTTAGTTTCTTCAAAGTAAAAAAAGCCTTTTAACTCAAGCCTATGTTTCTTAGTTGAACAGTACAGTACTGCCTAGAAAATATCATACAGAAAAAGGATAAGTTTACCAAAAAAATGACAAAAATTCTGTAAAAAAACTAATGCTTAAAATTATAAATGAAAGTGACATAATTTTGAATTTTAAAATCATTATTATGTAAAATTTAACGATTTGATTAGCTAGTACAGTAGCCCTTGTCCAATTTCTCAGGGTATTTTATAGTCCAAATAATTATGACGTCTTGAAAGGCTATTTTAAACTTTTGCATTTTATAGATTATGAAAGTAAACATTTTGAAAAAAAATTGGGGCTTCTTCTCTTCAGGTTGCTGTAAATTCTGCTGCTTTACATATTTATAAACAAAGTATTGTATATTTTACCTGAATAATTGGATATTAATCTCAGAAATGAAAGTTGGTATGACAAATCTTGTGCATTTTACTTTAACAATGATCAATGATGATTAAAATTGACAAGATCTTGCCATTTGAATAAATTCAATTTTGTAAGCACACATCTCTATGAATTAATTTCTTGTTTGACTTGAAAAGCTAGTGTTTGCTCTTATTAATGTAGCTTACTTAGTAAAGAGATAATTGATAAGCAAGGTTTTTAACTTATAAAATATAAATATACTATTAACTGACCTTCATTTCCTTTTTTCATATGTTTTTTCCTCCGGAAATTGTCTTTGCAATGAACTTATATCTCGAATTTGACATACACAGTCATCTCAGTACCAGAATCTATGACAAACGAGACGATTTTAATTTTAAAATTATAAATTTCCCCCACCTTAGTAGCAATATACCAACTTCACCTGCATATGGGATATACATTTCCCAACTTATTCGATATTCAAGAGCTTGCAGCTCTTATTCAGACTTTGTAAAACGTCACCAGTGTCTGAGCAGAAAGTTGATGAACCAGGGGTATGTCAAAGAACGTCTCGTCCTTTTTCTAAAAAAGTTCATCGGAAGGTACCAAGACCTTGTTGATAAATATTCCGTATCAACTTCACAAACAATACATGATGGTCTTGAAGTATAGATTCTGCATACTGACGTTGTTTATCATCTTAACAACGTGTAATATTGTTCTTTCATTTGTCTTTGTTCTATTATTAATATTACTTTTACTGTTTGGTTTGTTTTCTGTGATATCCATTTGACGTGGCTAGGTACTTATACATCCCGTCAATGTGTTTGTATTATCTTTAATTTTTACTGATGTGTTTTGTATATGCGACTTTTTGTGTTTCTGTGGTTCTTATAACGTGACTCTGTACTTTAAAAGATCCCGTCATTATGTTATTGTTCTATTATATGTCATTATGTTATTGTTCTATTATAAATTTGAAAATACTTTGAACGACAAACGACAAATTTATTTTACTCGCGTAGTGGTATTTACCATATGTGGATTCTTAAGGGTTCTGAAGAACTTCTGGACAATTATAAATCTCGGTCTATTTCTGAAATTAATTCTAACATAACTTTTGATTTTTTAACCCTGTATACCAACATTCCCCATGTGAAATTATAAAATTGTTTTGAATAGACATTGAATGACAAACTTTTTTCTTATGTGACGTTTACATTTTCTGACGTCAGACACGCGAAGCAATGAATGTGGGTCTTAATTTGATAGATGCTTTTGTGCTTTTTTTGTAAATAATTGTTTGTTTTGATATTGTAACACAGTGATGACTGCTGTACCCATATTTTGACTATTTTATTTATAATGTCTGTTTTGTTCACGCATCGTTGTAAATATAACGAAATTTGATAAGACTGTCGTACAAGTGAGAGGTTTAGCGCTATAAAACCAGGTTCAATCCACCATTTTCTACATTTGAAAATGCCTGTACCAAGTCAGGAATATGACAGTTGTTGTCCATTCGTTTGATGTGTTTTGTCATTTGATTTTGCCATGTGATTAGGGACTTTCCGATTGAATTTTCCTCGGAGTTCAGTATTTTTGTGATTTTACTTTTTTCTATTGCTATTTTTGTGCTTTTGTTTATCCATAGGCCATCATTAATTTGTCATATTTGCTTCCAGTATAAATGAAATTTTCTTAGACCTAGCCTATAGTTTCAAACGCCATAAAGAATAACTTTGTTTGTTGTTTCACTTGTCCAATGTGTAAATTTTCACTATGCACATGACCCTGACACATATTTTGTAAACGTTATATATGACGTATGTTGAAAAAGAAAACAATGTCACCGTCAATTTGTGTAGGGGATCAAAAAGGGGTTTAATTACCTTAAAATGGAGATATCGTATGGAATTGTGAAAAACAACAATTTTTAATCACAATTTCATTCATATCTATAATAAAATCAGTATTTTAGAGTACTTTGGAAACAGGTACAATGAAAAGAAGTTGAACTTTACTGTTTTGAAGTAGAAACGCAGCCAAAACCAGGTACAAATTGACATGACTGGTGGTCACCAAAATTGATGTATAATAGTAAAAAATGATGGCTTCATAATTGTGTAGAAATTTGAAATAGGTTACCCGGTTTCATTTAAGATTTTTAACGTTCTATTCCATATTTGGATACGCAAACGTCAAGTTATATAAATTCGATGTTTTTGGCGAACAAAAAAGATGGCTGATCATTTTTAGAACGGACAGGATAAAGTAATAGCAAATAAAAGTTATTTTCGACAATGTTT